CCCCCCCCGCGTGTGCCTCTTTGTTCGGGAGGCCAGTACCTGTGGGCAGGGGGGAAAGAGGGGCGGGAACAACGCCGGGTAGGGCGTGGAGCGTCCGCACAGGACTGGCCCAAGACCATCTGCAATGCTGACCATGCCAAGTCACACGTGTGTGTGTGTGTGTGTGTGTGTGTGTGTGTGTGTGTGTGTGCATTCGGCGGGTGTTCGAGATGGACATGCATGCGCTAAGGTACACACGCAACATGCCGAGCCACCCGCGCCAGATCACACGGAGGGGAGAGTTTTCGGCCCCCCGCCCGCGGGCCGTCCTGCGGGTGCCGGGGCATCCCTCCTCACCCCGACCTCCCCCCCCTCCCCTCTCTCTCCCCCCCTCCCCTCCTTCTTTCCCCCGTCCGCTCTATCCGACAGTCTCCCACCCCTCAGAGCCATGCTCCTCGCCCGGACTGTCAAAGTTGCCTTCGTGTCTGCCCGGCCGGCGGCGATGGGCGCCGGCTACCTTGCCCGGAGGTTCCTGTCCGGGGCATCGTCGCCGGTTTGCTCATCGACCTCTGAGCCCCCGACCGGCTCCCTCTTTGGGGGGATGTCCTTCGCCACGATGTCCCTCAATGCGTCGCCCAGCCAGCCGTCCGACACATTGGCCTCCGCCTCGGGGCTCGCTGCTGCCACCGCGGCCGCTTCCGCCACCACGGCTGCTACTGCTGCTGCTGCTGCCGCCGCCGCCACTTCTGCCCCCACCGAGGCTCCTCCTCGCCAGGCCCTGGTAGCCGAGGCCTTGGAGGGCGCCACAGCGTCTGCCCCCACCCTGGCTCCTGCCACCCCCGCCGAATCCGCGGCCCCTTCTCAGGCCGTGGCCGCCGGTGAGGCCGATGCCAGCATCGCCACCGAGGCTGCCTCCGCTGACACCGCCGGTGCCGCCTCCAAGGCAACCTCCGCGCCGATTGAAGGGGCCTGGTTCTCGGCCATTCAGCCGAGCAGCGAGCCGGCCGCATCCAAGTCACCCATTCAGGAGTCGGAGTTTGAATGGATGCAGTCCCTGACGCCGGCCAGGCGCCAGGCTTTCCTCGAAAAGCTTCCGATCCACTTCAACCCATCCAAAAACTATACCTTGGTGCAACTCCGCCAACTGGCAATCAGCCGGGCCCTGCCTCATAATTCCACCAAGACCTTGATCCTGGATCATCTGGAGAGCTTCAACTGTCAGTGCCTTCTCCTCCCCCCCGCGCCTGGCCCATATTGGGACATGTGTCTTTTTTTTCTCCTTTCTTTTGCCCTCCCATCATGCATGCCCCGACATATCGCCTCTTTCTCCCCCTCACTCGCTCCCTCTCCCTCCCTCTCTCCCTCTCCCTCTCTCTCTCTCTCTCTCTCTCACACACACACACTCTCTCTTTCCTCTCTCTCTCTCTCTCTCTCTCTCTCTCTCTCTCTCGCGCGCGCGCGCGTGCGCGCGCACACACACCCCCCTGCCTTCCTTCATCCCTCGCGTGCACTCGCACGTAGTCGCGGATTTTGCTCAGACCCTCTCGAATGAGAAGCAATTCACGAAGTTCCGCGCCAACCTGCGGCGCCAACTCAAGAGCATGGATTTGGTGCCGGTCACGCGCAACCTGGAGTCCCACTTCCCGCTGTCCTTTGGCGACCAGCCCTCGGTGTATGCCATGTGCCAGACTCTGCAGCAGTGCTCGCATTTCCAGGTGGCCGCCCCACTGCGTGCCGACGAGATTTGGCAGGCCCTGAAGGACGAGCAGTCGCCCGACGCCGTGGAGCCGGTGTTCGCCCAGATTACCGACAACCTGCCCGCCATCAAGCTGATCCGGCCCCATCGTCCGAGTATCACCCGCCGGCGGCGGCAATCCAACACGCCCGCCCTCCCCCAGCAGCAGGAGATCCCCCTGCCCCCGGGGCTTGTGAAGGACTCCGACGAGTACTTCAATTACAAGAATCACTACCTGCGCATCCAGCGGCACTTCAACCGGGTGCGTCATTGACTTGGCCCTTTTTCATGTCCACCTGCCGGCTTTCATTCCCCCCTTCTGGCCTGCCTCTCCAGTGGCCACGTTCGCTGACTGTCAGCGTCTCCCTCCTCCCCCTCTCCTCTCTGCTCTGCTCTGCTCTGCTCTGCTCTCCCGTTGCACCCGCACCCACACCACTGCCGGTCTTTCACTGTCATATGGCTTGGTCAGGTCGCCTCCTGCCACACTTTCGATGCCCTGTACAACCTGTTGACGGACATCATCAATGATGCGCGCATCCTGAACATGCTCGAGCGACGCGTCCGCCCGGCCGACATGCCGCCCAAGGTGACGCCGGATTTCCCGCCGGTGCTGCACACGCAGCGTCTCCTGCTGCAGGCCATCAGTTTGTCCGCCAGCGACCCCACCCCTGGGCTCTCCTACTCGCGGCTGGAGCGCCTGTTTGCCCGGCTTATGGACGCCTCGCCGGTTTGCTACATCACAGTCGTCGATCTGCACATGTACCAGGCCTGCCTGTCGATCGTCGCCCAGACCGAGGATGTGCAGTCCTTCGTGAAGCTCTTCCAGCGCATGGTACGCGCGTGTGTATGTGTGTGTGTGTGTGTGTGTGTGTGTGTGTGTGTGTGTGTGTGTGTGTGTGTGTGTGTGTGTGTGTGTGTGTTTGTGTGTGGGCGGGTGGAGGACTGCTCGCGCCCCCGTTCGCTCCTCTCCGTGGTGTCACCTGCTTGGGCCCAACTCGCGTCATGTCGCTCGCGGTTGTCTGACTACTTCCTCTCTTCGCCCTTTTCTCACTGGCATTCCCCCCCCCCCCCTGGCCCCTATATATGTACACACACACATGATGCACATGCACCTTGGCCCCCTGAAGCAACACGATGCCATTTCCCCCGATGGCCCGACCTTTGAGATGATCTTCTCCTTCCTGATGCAGCACAACCTGCGCGACCTGGTGACCACCCTCTTCGAGGACTATTTGGAGCTGGCGAACGAGGTGGAGCAAGCGCGCATCAGTGCCGCCATGCATCAGGCCATCATGTCGTATCTGACTCCCTCGGCCCACCGTGCCTACTACGGTGCCGGGCATGAGGCGGGCCTGTCGGCGGCGCCTGGCGCATCCGGGCACATCGCCTCGGTCATGGATCGGCTGTCGACCCATGGCATGATGGGGGCCGGTGCCTCCGCCGAGGCCAATCAGTACGGGGGGGCCCCGGGTGGCGGTTACTTCCAGCCCCCCTCCTTCGACCCGGATGAGGTGATCCAGCACTTGGAGACCCACCTTACCTGGCAGCAGCCGCGCTCGGGGCATGCCGCGCATCAGCACCAGCACCAGCACCAGCACGCCCAAGCCCACCAGCAGTACGGCCAGTACCACGAGCAGGGCTACCACCCGGCGGCCTATGGCCAGGGGGGACACTATGATGCGGCGGCCCACGCCCAGGAGGGGCACTACGATGCGGCGGCCCACGCCCAGGGGGGACACTACGACCCTGCCTTCGACCCGAGTGGCTTCCAGCACTTCCCCCACCAGGCCCATGGTCAGCACTTCGATGGGACGGCCTTCGGCCAGGGGTATCCCCAGGCGGGGGCGCACCACCCCCATCACCATGGCGAGGCCGGGTCCTTTGGGCAGATTAACTTCTCGGACGACATGTTCGAGCACCATCTGGAGGAGTTCAACAACCAGCAAGGCGGACACCAGCACCCCATCCCGGATGATGAGTACTTTGATGACCGGTTCTCGGGCCATTAATAGATGCTCCTGCCTCGGTGTGTCTCCCCCATATGCCGCGCACCAATTATAGACGTCTTCCCTCCTCTTGCCTTTCCCAGCTGGCCCTAGCCCACCACCCCCTCTTGCTTTTCAGGGGTGTGCCGGGCTGGGCCGGCGAGGAGCCACATGAAGAGCGGCGAGGCCGCGGTCACAAAAGACAAAGGATCTCCCCCTCCCCCCCCCCTCCCCCTCGTTCCTTGGCACAGCCAGTACATGCCACTCTCTCTCTCCGTCTTCTCCTCTGAGAGCTGTGCCCTTTTCTGCCCGCGTCGCGGTTGTGGTCCCCTCCCTCTCCTTCCCCCTGCTACGGCTTTCAAATACCAACAATATTCCCCCCCCCCCCGGACCCCGCTGCAGTGCCTTTGCATGCGTTGTCTTGTCGTCTCACGGGGCATGCTGAAGAAGGACCGAATTTGAAATCGAACACGCTATGGGAGGGGGGCCCGGGCAGCACTTTTCGGATGTCTATTGTGGGATCGATCTCGGGGCCCTTCCCGACCACGGTCAACAAGGGAAGACCCGGAAGAAAGGGGGACGGAGAGAGGGAGAAAGCAAGGAGGAGGAGGGGAAAGCGGGTGATGACGATGGACACGGCGCGAGCCGAGCGAGAAGGGCCACAGGGCGGCAGGGCGTCCGGCCCCCGCACCGAAGACCCCCCCCCCCTCCCCCCGCCCCGCACGCGGCCTCCATCCCTCTAGGCTGCCTCCCTCACAAGCAAAGAAAGGGGGTCAGAGAGGGAGGGAGTGAGGGGAGGGGGGAGAGAGAGAGAGAGAGAGAGAAAGGGGGACGAGGATGTGCACACGCCGTCGGCCTTACCGCGACCACTGGCGGCCAGCGGAGTCGGTCTTCTGAATGGACTTGACATCGGCATTCTTGTGGCCCTTGTCGTAGCCGGTGCCAAAGCCGCCACCGCCACCGCGGCGGCGCACGCGGTTCTCCTTGCCGGTGCTGTTGATGTTCAGGTTGACCGAAGGGGGGACCGTGAAGCCGAAGCTCCGGGCCACCTGCTGCAGGTCGAGCTTGTGCACGTTGAAGACATTCTTCAGCGAGTGCGACGCGTACGCCTGGAGGTAGCTGCGGTAGCCCTCGCGCGCCGAGCTGTTCAGGTGGTAGTTCTTCTCCACCAGGCGCTCGAGCTGCGACTGGACATTGGACAGCTTGGCCAGCGGGAACTCATACTCATTGAGGGGGATCTTGGCCTGCTTGAGGTAGCGCAGGAAGCCAAGCTCGCTTTCCAGGAGGAAGAGCAGGGCACGGCCCGACTTGCCGGCACGAGCGGTACGGCCCACACGGTGGACATACTCGCGCGGGTCATCGGTCGGGTCGTACTGGACAATCCAGTCGACATACGGGATGTCCAGACCACGAGCGGCGATATCCGTGCACAGCAGGACACCCGTCTGGGAGTTACAGAACTCGAAGAAAGTGGTCGTGCGGCGCTGCTGCTTCATGCGGCCCTGTGTACATGTGTGTGCGTGTGCGTGTGTGCGTGTGTGCGTGTGTGTGTGTGTGCGCAGGGCGGTGAGAAAGGGAGAAGCGGGCCATGTTTGCCAGGGGAAAGGGCGAGCAGGAGGTGGGGAGAGCACGACAGCGGCGACGTACGTGGAGCTCCATGACCGGGACGTCGATGTAGTTCAGCAGCTCCGCATGGTACTTGACGGAGTTACAGCTGGAGAAGAAGACAATGATCTTGCGGTTCTTCATGTTCTTCTTGAGGAAAGTGAAGAGCAGCAGGAAGCGCCGCTCGCTCGGGCACACGACGTAGCCCTGCTCCAGGTTGGCCACGGTGGCCGTGTCGAGCTCCTTGTCCTCTACATTGACATAGATCGGCATGTGGCGCAGCGACATGCGGGCCAGGTCCTCGACCTTGGTGGTCTGGGTGGCCGAGAAGAGAAGCGTCTGCCGGGCGGTCGGCAGCAGGCGGAGGATCTGGTTCATCTCCTCCTCGAACCCCTGCTCCAGGATGCGATCGGCCTCATCGACGATCAGGGCGCGCAGGTTCTTGAACACGAAGCCGCGAGTGTTCTGCAGGTGATCCAGCAGACGACCCGGGGTGCAGACAATCACGCTGACACCCTTGACCAGGCGGTCGGCCTCGGCCTTGCTGTGGGGACATGCCCAGCCGCAGAGGGGACCGGAGCCAGGCAAAGGCCGAAGGACAGAGATCCACAAGGGGGGGGGGAGAAGGGAGAGAGAGAGAGAGAGAGGCCGGGAGTCAGGAAGGCGCGAGGGCAGGAGGAAAATGCACCCAGGGAAAGGAGGACGGGTGGGCGGACATGGCACCACGCACCGGTTGGCACCACCGATCAGCAGGCCGAAGGTCTGGTGGTGGTACTTCATCAGCTCGGAGGCCACCTCATAAATCTGCATGGCCAACTCGCGAGTGGGCGAGATGATGATGGCACCGGTGCCTGGATGGGCGAGGGAAAAGGGAAGGAGAACGACAGGAGAGCGGAGGGCGACAAGTGGGGGGGGGGGGGGGGGGGGCAGGGCGTGTGTCAGTGAAAAAAAAAAAGGCCACCAGGGACCGTGCACGCGAACAGCCGGGCGAAGGGCTGGCGGAAGGGACGGACCGTTGCGCGGCTTCCACTCCAGGCGGGCAAGGCTCTCAATGGCCGGGATCAGGAAGGACAGGGTCTTACCGCTACCGGTCTTGGCCTGACCGAGAACATCGCGCCCGGCCAGGGCAGGGGGAATCGAGCGGCTGAGCGGCGAGCGAAGCACCAACCAGTCACCAGTCAGTCGGGGTGCACGAAGGCCAGGGAGAGCGGGGAGGGAGGAGGGTGCTGGCGGGGAGGAAGCCCAAAAGGGGGACCGGCGCACCTCTGAATCTCGGTCATGTTGGCGAAGCCCATCTCCTCGATGGCCTTCAGGGTCAAGTCCGACAGGGTGAGGCTGTCGAAGCGGTGGTTGTCGGTGGCATTGAAGGCGGGAGCTGCGCATCAGGGACAAGAGGGG